GCCCTTAAAAATTTCTCACGGCGGAGGTGGCTATGATAACATTTGATTATTAGGCGCAAATAACTGCATTTGCCTGGTTTTTTTTAAAAAATTCTAAGTGAAGCGGAGAATATATTGGTTTTACAAACCAGTATTTTATTTTTATTTTTATTTTTTTTATTTTTGTGAACATTTTCTACCAGAAAGCTTGCTCCGATATATACTATACAGCATCTTTTCTGAAAGAAAATTTTCTTGGGGTGGTATTTTAAAGAAGTAATTTTTTTGATTTTTCCTGCAGTTTTTCCAATAAAAAAGAAAAAGTAAAAAAACGGAAGCAACACGGAAAAATTAGGACAATATTAAACAAATATCATTAAAGAAAATATATAATACCTATTTAATTATTTTACCATAATATGATTTATAAATGGTTGACAAAGCATCACTATCAACTAAACACCGCTCAGAATCGTTTTTCTTTAGCGATGAGTTATCGTTGCTTACAGACATACATTAAATTCCCGTTTTTATTCTACATTCCCAGCTTCCCACTTACAACAGTAGCTGCACCCACGTGCGAAGTATGTTCGTCTTTTTTAAAAATTTAAATGGTTTGTATTTTATCTAAATACTAAATTAGATACTACAAATCCCTATAACTAGTATAACTACTTTAAGTAGTTATAAAATTAATCATAAGCAAAGTCGGGGGCTCCAAAACCATACGGTCCTGGTTTGACTATTCACCGTTTTATATATTGTTACGCAGTTATATACTTCCTAATAAATATGCAATTAATATGCAATTATAATTAATAATTATACCAATTTACATTTTCTAACTTAATTATTAATTATACAAAATACACTTTTGATAAAATGTTTATTTAACGTAATATGCTTAATAAAATTGAAATACTTATTATATTTTAATAAAAACGTGATTTCACCATTTTCTCCGCTATTTTTCTTCCTTTTTTTTTTATTACATATACGGTAACTACCGGTACACATATCATGCCCGGGTGCACACCAATGCAGTCACGTTTCACAGCAATAATCTTGTCATTCATTTCGCACTATTTTGCTGTGCAACGTGCTTTCAACCTAAATGTTAGTATTGATAATAGCCAATTAAAATTAGATCTCAAATTTCAAAAAAAAAAAATAATAATTTGCTCCGCGTCGAAATTTCTCCAGTAATAATATCTCATAATAATACATCTTCCGCAAAAAGTTAATAACATATACTAATATACTTTATTAATTTTATCATGGACGTAAAAAAACGATAAAAAGAATAGAAAAGCTAGTATCGAATTATGGTATGGTGACATACCATAATCATATCAGTACGTAAATGTCATTTACGTGTGTGTCAGATGACTAGCCACTAGCACACACAACCTTACATTTTGAATTTATGATATATATTTTTTTTAATTTATATGCACGATTAATATAATTTGACATAAAACTATACTAAATTAAATTACTATATTATGAATCAAATATTTTTACAATAGTAATATTGAAATGTTTATTTATTCATTCGGAGGTATTTAGACGGACCGCCTTTACTCGTTAACTGGTGGTTTATAAAAATTAACCGTAAAAACTTAAGTTTATCCAATTGAAATATTATTTAGTTAAATTAAAAATTAACGATAAAATAATTGGATATAATAGTTAAGTTAAAAATGTAGCAAATTAACTTTTGAAGTATAGTTAATGTCCGCCTTTGATAGTCACCATTATTTTAACTACTTTTTCAGACATTTTCACCCGGATACAATATTATTTTCGTCGTATAGTTCGTTTATAAATTTGTGGTTCAAATTTCCACAAATAGTGGGGAAAAAAACTTTAAACGACGACGTGTATAACTTTCAAACGTTCGTCTTTGACCAACCGCGTATTTATAATATTAAATTATTCCCCGTCGTTTTGCGGAAATTTACGCTCGCGGAAATAAACAAATATCGTTTTGTTCCGTATTTCGCGTAATGACGCAAAGTATGAATACCCACGACATTGCCGTATTATAATAATACGCTATACATTTTTATGGATTTTTTTTTTTTATATTGTACGTGCAATAAAGTGCACGAGTACCCCGCGGCTGTAGTTTTGTGTTATTCGTTCAATGTGGGGTGGATCGCAATATATTTTGTGCAAGCTATCCAACTTGCCGGTTCCGTCGAACACCCACGCAGAAACTTATTTAGGGTTGCCAAGGAGGTCATTGACCCCGGGCACCAAATTTTGAGACGACGTCAGAATCTTCAAACATCGTAAAATAGTTATTTTATATAATTATCACGATAAATATTATATTATTATTCCCAAATAGAAAAAATTGATAACAGACAACCTGTCATGTGTATTACCAAAGTAACACTATGCGAATTGCTTAAAATTATCTCTCCTACCCATCCAAGCTATCTCTCTCGCATGCATTTACCCATTACGGCTATCGTTTTCTTTTTTAAACATACCTGGATCCATCATCAATATCAATAGTTTCCATTCAGTCATGTCCATCACACTACATCACTACCAAGAGCAATCCAAGTAGCGGAGCCCGCCGCGAAATTCCCGACTTCCCGATAGGCTAGGCCTACCCGCCCATGATGTTCCCATTCCAATCTTCTTTACTACTGATTTAACTGATGCTTAAATATTTAGCTGTTAATACGGCAGGTAGATTTGTTTCTTTGTTTGCTCTAATTTTTTATTCTCTCTTCTGCAATACAGGCCCATAAATTGGTAGGTACATGAGAGTACTTTTCTTTTAAATAACCATATGATTTATCCTTGGTCGCCTTTTGTGATACCGAACATTTTTTGCAACTCACGCGACAGGGTTAACCGTAATTATTGTACCTACCCATAAGCTTCTCAGTTTCTCCAATGCAAGACACCATTTATTTGATGTTGCAATTCTTAATTTTATTTCCATTTTGCTTGTTATTTGTACCATTTATATTCGTATCTAGGTACTTGAATTAGTCAGATGCTGTTTGTAAAGCTTATTTTCCGACCGGAAAGTTCGGTAAATTTACCGTTTCTATACGTCCATATACTTATTATATGTAATTTGGTAAATAAATAATAGCAATAAAAAATCACAACGATGAAAATCGAATTTACTCGACTAGAACTCAAATAAGTGATAGTTACACGATAGACATTTATATTATGGTTAAATTAAACCTCTAGGGACCTACCGGTTTCCAAATTGCAACCGGCGCGGCGGCGGTCCATTATTGTAATTGTTACGGTAAAACGATTTTACCGAATTGCTGCAATGTTTTTGATTTTCGTTTCGCATTCGCAAGGAGCTACAACATTAAATAATTAAAAAATAATTAAAAAATAATTGATAGGTATAAGTTTCAAGTGCCTATATTATGTTATGATGGCCGTTTTATTAAAATATTATTACTCGATAAAAAGTCTGTATCAACTCGTGTGAAATAAAAACTCAACTCTAAAAGTTATATTATAATAACCCTTCCCCACTCCTCCGGTCTAAAATTTATACTGTTAAACTCATAAACTCATAAACGGTAAATCTGATATTAGTGTTATATATAACAAAACATTTTTTTTCTAGAAAAATATTCCTATTCAAATCTGTTCAAAAGGGGGGTTCCTATTTTAAAATCAAAAGTATGTACTTTTTTAAGGTGTATGGAGTAGGGTAAAAAATTAAAAATAGTTTTAAAATAAAGCTTAAACGATATAATGATTAGAAAAAACAGAAATGAAATTCACTTAAAATCCTCTGAGATAATTGCTGGTTTGTGATAAAAAAAATCACCTTGTATAATCGTATCATTTATTGAGTTATATTTGAAAATGTATACCTAGGTATATAGGAATATTGGAAAATCTCGAAATGAAGACAAAATTAGTACATTCATTGTGTATGATTAAAATCAGATTGAAGATGCATGTTTAAATTAATTAGGTGTAGAAATTAGATGGTTAAAAAGGTTTAAAGAACAGAAGCACGTAAGTTGTAATATAATACGTACAAATAAATCGCGAAGAATTAAAGGCGCGAGTCTCCTACATGGGCATAGTAATTTCTGGGTTATATTGGCTACAAGAGAAAACACACGGCTAATACTACTCCACTCAAAATCGTATTTCGATTTCAATGATTTATCGTTGCTATTGGTGTGTAAATTAAACCACACTATATCCTATACCTTTCAAACTTCACACCTAATACAGTAGTAGACTACCCATGAAATATGTGCCGATACGAATGCCTTGGTACTTATAATAAGACTTATGAAAAATAAACAATTAATTATTAATCATATTTATGATGACACTACACGAGCTTATATATACAGGGCCTCCCACGAAGATACGCCCATCGTAATACCTCCGGAGATAATAAAAATAATCAAATTCTTTTTTTTAAAATGTATAATAAACTAGGTGTCCCGCAATCGGCGTTGCCCGTGCTAATTTTTCATTCTTTTTATTTTTATTCTCGTTTTTCTTTGCTCGTATCAATAGAAGGAAAGTGGATCAGTGGCGAACAAAAAGTGTTCTAATGTGTCATACATTTTTTCGTCCGTATTACTATTTATACACTCAGCACAGAAATTAAACTATATATCCACTAAAATAACGTTAAAATTATGAAAGAATAATAATACTGTAGTCAAAGTGGATTATATCCACTTTAATTGTAGTTTTGTTACTGTACTAAAACATACAGAGATTTAGACATGACGTTTTGCGTGTTTTCACATATTACCATAGATACCCACTCAATACAGTGCATAGATTTTTGTTTTTCTTCATCCGTGTTACCAAGATCGCTCATCCTATTTCAAGCCAATAATAGTCCGACAGACTGTCAGATAGACTCTTTATTAAAAGTTATTACTTGTTATTATAGTATTTTATCGATAAAATCGACACCTACCCACTGGCTCCTGACATTAACAACAATTGCCCCCCACTACTCCGCAGAGCGCACGCCTTAGTTAAAGAGTTCTCAAAAATAAATCTCAAACACGAACTACCCATTAATAATTTTATTGGTGATGCGACCAAAACACGATTAAAGTCCAGAAACCCCCCATCAAAAACAGCCAAGGACCTAATCAACGCAAACTTTGATATGATGATGAAATGGAAATAAATGTGGGCAGCTATGGTAGAGAATGATTACATCCTAGACAACATATTACCAGGACATATACCCACAGGATTTGACCTACAGCGCAATCTATGGTGTATATTTAACCGAATACGAACTTCGCACGGTAGATGTGCAGATTCCTTACACAAATGGGGCATGAGAAACTCACCAGAATGTGACTGTGGAGCAGACAAGCAGACCATCTACCACATAGCTTTTGTATGTCCTATCTACGCCTATCGAGGTCTCAGAATCGACTGCCTCACAACCTCTTCCACATTTATTAAATGACTGGAAGAATTAGAACTAGATTTCTAATACCTTATTGTTACCTAATATTACTCATACTACTAATAAATCTATTTTGTTTTCTTTTTTTGTGTTTATTTTTATTTTATCAACCTGTTATACATTAATTAAACTTACTGTACGTTACCATATTAAAACTATAATGCATGTAACCACAAACCATACGCTAAATAAATATATATGTGATTATTAAATATTTGTTTAAAATTTTTGTTTCACACAAACCCTGTACTATACCTATAATATGGTCATTCAACCAAAATCACGACCATTAGCCGATCATGCTCAAATCTGGCTTAGGTGCGGATGTGGGTACGGGAGCCACGATCACGATCACATACTTGTGCACATAAACATATACACATACATACACACATACACATATAGTTACACACACACACACACACACACACACACACACACACAAAGATTACCTACAATTGATTTTTCTCACAATCACCGTAATACCTACATGACCGTCCTCGGAAATAATATTTTCGATGATAATAATAGTACCGTATACCTATATCACTAACCAATGTATTTTTTAAGCGAATAATGCAATATATTCTTGGTGGGTATCGATAATAATATTTTATATCACTGTTTTTAATACTACGTACCAACCGATACATTGTACGAAGTATTCGATGCGTCGTACGATACACTGATCACATACATTGGTAACATAATTATTGAGTACCTATATGTATAGACATTAATATTATATATCACCGTTTTTAATACTATGTATCGATGCATCATCTGACACATCGATGTAAAATTCCGGGGAAAATGGAAAAACGACCTCTCTAAAATACCTCTCCAGTGAAATTTCTTTTCAGAAACATTGCTATTATCAAAAATTGGAGCAAAATTGCTGGTAAAAAAATTTTGCACAGAAAAAAATAAATAATAACATGTTTATAAAACTATAAGCTTCTTCGCTCCATTTAGAATCTAAAATAGAGAATAAAATAAAAAAAGTAAAATATAAAATTTAAAAAAAATATTTAAAACATATAGAAAATTGTTTTAATTTTAAAAAAAGGAATGATATTTAATTAAATTTGAGGTTTTTCTTTGAAAAGATGCCAAATGTATGCTTTTTTATGCGAGGTTTTGCTTGTTTAAAGTTTATATATTGTACGATAAAGTTATAAGTTTTTATTGAAACTATGTATACTTAAAAAAAATTATAATTACAACATAATTATGATACGACAAATTTTAATTTAAAATACTGTATTGACGTAATAAAAAAAAATTTTTCTAAAATGATATGCTTACGTATTGACTGTTTGTTTTTAACAGCTGCATTACGTTTTTCCTTTTGTGAATTCATCAGGCCTTGTATTTAAAAATAAAATTAATTTTATGTCATTAAATTTTTAGAATTAAAAATGTTTAAACATTTTGGTGATTTATCGTTTCCGCCATTAGAATATCGATTCCACCGTCTATCGACTCCGCTGGCTATGAACTACGAATTAATAAATTAATATAAGTAAAAAAAACAGTTTAGAAACTTGAACACTGCATTGTTGAATAAATTAGAGAAGAAACTGGCTCACTAATTGATTCACTTAAGAAAGAATTTTTGAAAATTCACCCTTAAATAGGTAAATGGGTCAAGGTCAAAATGTTTGAGGACAAAAGACACTAAATTGGAACAAAATGTGCAATGATATACACACTAAATTGTACTGACAATAAAAAGACGAAGTCACGGATAATTTTATTTGCATATCTAGTATTATACTTATATATATATTACATGTATATGAGTATATTATATACTGTTACAATGCACGCGAGCCCCCAAAAAAAGCCCTTTTCAGGACCAACACATCTGATGACAAAATAATGGCACATGTCGGTTATGGCGATATCACAGAAATGGGCGGTTTTTAGTTAAACGACGAGATAAAAACAGAAAAGTGACAACCAATGTCGAACGAACCTCTGTCCGATCAGACGTATATATAAATATAGACATAAATATAGGTTATCACCAACAAACAACATATTTACACCTTGTACGGTAAACATGTATATTGCTACATGCTCTGAAAAAAAAAATGCACCGTCGAAACCAGCGTCCACCCACTATGACCAGCAATCGGCAAACAGGTTAAGACTCCTGTAAGAGCACCTTTCTTCTTCCCAGCAACTGGTTAAAATCGTCAGAAAGCTTCCTCCCAAGCTCCGAGCACAAAAGGGCGCCTTGCCAAGAAGGAACGAAAGTTCAAAAACCAAATACCAATTCTAACTACTCCTTCATCAACAGCTATGCAAAATCAACAAATCTCCGATTCTTTAGATTTAGAATCTCTTTCAGGTGAGTCCTCATCTCCTTTCTACTACCTCCTTTTTATCCTCACTTATTAGGCAATCAAATAAAATTACCACCCGTTTCTCACCAATTTTCGTTCAAACCCGTCCAAGTTTACCGTGGCATTCAATTGCTAAGGAAATGTACAAAACTGATGGCCCCGAGAATGTCACTGCCAGAATCACGTCTACTCCAGCCCAAATTAAAATCACCTGTCCTGATGAAAAATCCTTCTGTGCCGTCCAAAACTTCTTGGAAACCAATCACGAAACCATTGAATCTTTCCCCTTCCTCACAGTCATCAAAGGAATCCCTTTGTATATTTCCGATGCCAAATTATCCAACGAACTTACCATGCTTGGCTACAAGCCGTAACATTTTAGAGGTTTCTTGAAAAGCGGCAAAAGGATTCCGGTACACATAGTCTCTCTAAAAATGTCCGAAAATGCAAAGGATATTTACATTATTGCACTATCGGCGAAATTTTCTACGTTAGGGTAAATATTGAATCGTACAGAAACTCAGGCCTAGTGCAATATTTCAATTGCCAGCATTTTGGTCACTCGTTGATCCATTGCAAATAACCCCCACGTTGCGTCAGGTGGTGGTAAGAACACCCCAAAAAGAATACTCAAAGCCTAAAACCGTCAAAGCTACATGCTTGCAACTGTGATAGAGAGTATACTGCTAACTACCACGGTTGCGCCCACTACATCAAACACCACAAACCAAAACCTCCAACAAACTGAGTACGTACTGAACAAACCTTTCACCAACCTGAAAATTCACAAAAATAACTGTTTTCCCAAATTACCACTTATTCGTATGCAGACACTGCAAAATCATCCTTTTCGCCCCCAAACGAACCTGAAAAAAATACTGGGCATTATCAAAAAATTGCTTCCCACTTTCCAAAATTGTCCAGATATTAATGCTAGGGAGGCAATAATAAATACGGTCATGTCAATTCTTAGCGCCATTCCTAAAATTCTACCATGTCTGACCTAAAAATCTTGTCATGGAACTGTAATGGTGTTACCCACAATAACTAATAACTTTCATTAAACAACTTGGATTCTACTAAGTAAAACTCACCTTAACCCCCAAACACCTCTTACAGGTTGACCAATCACAGCGGTCATTTTGTAATCGACAGCGATTTAAATACCAAACATACTGACTGGCACAGTCTACGCTGCAACCAATTAGGTACAGCAATTGTGTATCATGCAGAAAAGGCAAACTGTTACTCGTGGCTTCTGATTCGTCTACACACTATCCGTACGTCCTGACACATTGTCCAGACGTGGTCATCTTTCAACTCAACACGCCAAATATGAACCATATTCTCTCTAACTACTGCAACCTTTCCTCGGATCATAAACCTCAGTTTTTAAGCTTATCGTCCAAACTCTCAAAGTGTGAACCACCAAGAGCAAGAAAGTGAATTAACTGGAAACAATTCTAGGTCGAACTAACCCCTCGTATTAAAAATATCCACATTGCCACGATCTCGGACATAAATACTAATATAGCCAACTAAGTTACTGAACTTAACTAACCTTTGCCATCCAATTAGAATGCGTGAACAATTTATACACTGTGAACCAATCAGAATCCTCAAAACTACTACCAGACGATATTCTTCTCGAATTGATACTATAGTCTGTCTCGGGAGAGAACGGGCCGCTTGTGAGCATGTTTACCCCTCCACATAACTTGATTTCAGCGAAGGCAGCAGATTGTCATTTCTTCCGTCGTCGGTTTTTGACTATACACCGCTAGGATATTTTGTAGAAATTCAATTGTTATTATTATCAGACATCGCGCATCGCACGTTTTTTTACCTTTGCTGTTTTATAACCTGTTGATGATTTTTCAAATCGTAAACTATCGTATATACAAGCACCTTCTATAACAATCCAGACTTTGTTTTTTTTGTGTACATATTTATTTATTTAATATTTTATTGAACACTGTAGGTATAATACAGAGTTATATATTTAATAAATAATAAATAATTATATTAAAACATTTCATTTTTTTTTCGTTAAAATTAAAATTTATCATTTTTGTCATATTTACATTTTATTTTATTTCTGATAAAATTACAAATTTATAATACTAATTATTCGTCATATTTACATCATTTTTTTTAAAATAATTAAAAAAACGGAGAAAAAAGTAAAAATTACCAAACGGTACAAAAAAGTAAACGCTGTAAAAATGACGTGTGCGTACACCACGGCAATTGGCGATAAACAGTGGACTATCGACAGTCAACAGTGCATTATTTGAAACGCAGTGTACAACACCTGCACCACTTCTGCGGTCGCCGTTGCAACGCTGTCGATAGATCCGAGAGGGGATAAATGGATAGTGTTGCGGCGTGGGGATGCGCAGTAGCGATTCGATTTGGTCGGAGAGCGGCCCGTTCTCTCCTGAGACTATAAGGGCATACTACGGAAAAACTGGCAACATACGTGTGATCTACAGGCAAAAACTCTGTACAACGCTCAAATGGCTCACGTAAAAGGAATCCTCACCCAGCATGAAAATTCTGAATGGAATCTTTTCACCTCTATTCTTTACTTTAACAATAGAGCCATATCGTATACAAACATAATCGTCGACTTCTCCACAAACCACTCCCATACCAGCCGCTAATTACCCAAGAGGAGACAAAAGTCTTTTGACATAAACCCTAAGGCCGAGCTATTCGCAGACAAATTTTTTCCCAGTTCCTAAACAATTTAGGTCCACAATTACCTGAAGTTATCGATTCAGTTACAAAGCTTCGCGACCCAAACAATCTCCCTTCAGATTTATTCGTCTCCCCAGTTGACGTGTGTGACATAATAAAAAGCCTTCTACCAGTGAAAGCTTCAGGTGAGGATCAAATCAAAAAAAAAACTCTAAAACATCTTCCAAAAATAGCCTTTGTTCTCCTAGTGAACATATATACGTCTAGTTTTAGACTTTCCTATTTCTCTGAACAGTGGAAAAAAATCCAGATCGTCATAATTCCCAAACCCATGAAAAACCATCTGCTACCAGAAAACCACAGGCTAATATCTTTAATAAACAGCATATTTAAAATGTTTTAAGAATCATATTCCAGAAACTAAACGTTTACATAAAAATTTTTTTTTTGAATAATAAATTAAAATTTGTTTTGTCAAAAACTGCACAATTTTAATATAAAATATTGTTTCATTATTGTTTGTTTTTCAAAAATAACTAAAATATTCGGTTTACATTCATCAACAGAAACTTTACCTTCATTAGAAATAACTGTTTCGATTTTATTTATATCATTAAATATTTCTACTAATTTCTCATAAATCGGTTGATTTATGGTTTTTGTAAAAATATAAATTAAATTAATTTAAAATGAATTATTTACTTGGTCTATAGTATATTTTCCATATTTTAATTCAATTATATTGTGGTCAACTTTTAATAAACAATCTGTTTCAATATTAATTAAATTAGAAGTAATACATAACACTAGAACACCAACAAATAAATTATCTCCAAATATAGGATTTTCTAACCTTTTGAATCCGTTCTTTTATTTTTATTATTCTCATTTATTTTTTTTAATTTAAAATAAATTAAAAAATATGTACTAAAAAGAATGTATTTAATATAAACACTTCCTTGTTTTTAAAAACAATACCAAACTTAACCTAACCTTTTCAAAATATTTAATATTTTTATTAGCTTACACAACACATCTTCTTTCAAGTTTAACATGGATTTTACAAATCTATCTGTAAAAAATGATTTCAAAAATAAATTAATAATTTATGAAATATTTATTTTGATGGTCCATTAAACATTTACGTATATAAATAGTTATAAATAAACTATAAATAGTTGGTATTTTGATGGTAATTCACGATTAATATACTTTCCAAAGTTTTACTTAAAATATGAATCACTTTTGTATTGCCAAATAAATAAATTTGTAAAAAAATCTTACCTGTGCATACATGAAAAGCAATTTTCTCATTGGTGGAAAAGACATTTTCTAATAAATAAAAATATACATGGTTTCAATTTACTTGAATAAACATTGTTAAACCATAGATTTTATAGTACTATAAGTAGTATAGATATGGCGGTTCTGGCGCAGATTGATATTTTTCACTTTAAAAACTAATTTTTGATCTATATTTACATTGTTTTTATTTCCTGTCTTTTTTATATGTATAAAATAAAAAAAAATAATATTAAAAAAAAATAAATTAAAAAAAAATAAATTAAAAAAAAATATTTAAATATAATAATAAAAACAATTTACATAAACATTGTACTAAGAACAGTTCTCTTAAACAAAAATAAATAAAATAATAATAGAAAATTTAACACATGATCAGTGTATACAACAGGAGTATCTTGGAAATACCCCTAATAATTAGAACGAAAAAGAACACGATTTAAAAACAAATGTTACATAAACATTGCAATAAGAACAGTTCTCTTTACTGTGGCCGTCGTGTATATGATTGGATTGAGAAAACTATTGCAACATTTTTTCCTTATATTTTTATTTTCCTTTTAAAAAATTTTTTGAACCTTAGTTAAAAAAAAAACATTTTCTATAATAAATGGAAAGCTTAAAAATTAAATTAAATAATGTCACCTTTAATTATAAATTCATTAAATTAAGTGATTTAGAAATTTATCAGAAATATTTTAGTATTGATAAAACAAGATATGGTGACAAATTAAGTGTTATTTTAGATGATAAATTTAAATTATTTTTACCTCACAGATTTTTAAATAATTTTTCCCATAAAAAAATTTAAACATTCAATAAAAACACACAAGAACAAATCTTTTTGGTTTGTAAAGGTGTAAAACAACCTGATAACAATAAAATATTTTATTTTATTAAATTTGTATAGTTAAACCATATTTTATCTACATTCTTTTTAGTACATATTTTTTAATTTATTTTAAATTAAAAAAAATAAATGAGNGTTAGTAGCATATCAGTGGTAATAAACCCACGCGCAACCGGAATTAGTAAGATCATATGATAGATAAATAGATCAGAACATTAGGATAATAATAACTCAATCCAATCATGTATAAAAAATAATATATGTAAAAAGTGTGATAGAAAAATCGGTGGCCGCCGTGTATATAATTGAATTGAGAAAACTATTGCAACATTTTTTCCTTATATTTTTAAATAATTTTTCCCATAAAAAAATTGAAACATTCAATAAAAACACACAAGAACAAATCTTTTTGGTTTGTAAAGGTGTAAAACAACCTGATAACAATAAAATATTTTATTTTATTAAATTTGTATAGTTAAACCATATTTTATCTACATTCTTTTTAGTACATATTTTTTAATTTATTTTAAATTAAAAAAAATAAATGAGAATAATAAAAATAAAAGAACGGATTCAAAAGGTTAGAAAATCCTATATTTGGAGATAATTTATTTGTTGGTGTTCTAGTGTTATGTATTACTTCTAATTTAATTAATATTGAAACAGATTGTTTATTAAAAGTTGACCACAATATAATTGAATTAAAATATGGAAAATATACTATAGACCAAGTAAATAATTCATTTTAAATTAATTTAATTTATATTTTTACAAAAACCATAAATCAACCGATTTATGAGAAATTAGTAGAAATATTTAATGATATAAATAAAATCGAAACAGTTATTTCTAATGAAGGTAAAGTTTCTGTTGATGAATGTAAACCGAATATTTTAGTTATTTTTGAAAAACAAACAATAATGAAACAATATTTTATAAGAGGTCGACATAAAAATATTTCTTGTATTTATTTAACACAAAGTTATACTGCTGTAGATTTAAAAATTATAAGAAACAATTTAAATTTTGTAATTATTTTTAAACAGCCGGATCATTATATTCAAAAAAATATGGGAAGATTTTATAAGTGATAATAAATTAAGTTTATTTAATTTACTTTGTAAGAAATGTTGAAAAAAACCATTTGGATTCTTATCAATGGATATAACAACTAATCATCTCTATAATAAATTAGACCAATTTTTATGCGAACATTAAAAATTGAATGTTAACTATTGAATGTAAGCCGTTAATCGTTGAAGGTTAAATATTAAATAAAAAATATCAGTTAATGAAAATTTATTGAAAAAAATATATTTTTGTATAATAAATGAGAACACTTGAACAAATTCAAAACAATCTTAAGAGAAAAATTAAAAGTGGATTAAACTTAAAAAAATCTAATAAAATACAAAAAAAATACATTTTGAAGAGAAAAAAGAACCAACAAATGCAGAGATTAATGAAACAATTAATCTTGAAAAAAAATTGCGAAAAATATATTGAAATGAAGCAGAGAAAAAACTAAATAAAGAAATAGAAAAACAAAAAGCTTTTGAACCTATTACCAACGGATTAAAAAATGTTGAAGAAGCTGTCAGAAAAACCGATGATGATATTAAAACATTTTTAGTTTCTGTGAAACCGTTAACACAAACATCAGATTTTATTACTAAACAACAACACATGATAAGAGATAGAGACTTAGAAACAGAAATTAAAAATTCAATTATTAACAGCAAAATAGGAGTTATTACAGTTCATTATTTACTCAAATTATCAGATGATAAATTTGGGATTTTTCATAATCATGAAACAAATATGCATATAATAGGTAAAAATGAGATTCATATTAAAGATAACGATATTATTTTAAATGAACAAACTTATAAAGGAACACAAGGTTTATGGAGATTATTAACATATAATAAAAATATAGATAAAAAATCATATTCTGATGATGATATTAAGAATTATGAAAAGATATTAATAGAAACAGAAATATTATATCATAATAATAATAAAAATACAAAAAAGTAAAATCAAGTAAAGGGGATAAATACATGAATCTGATCTAGTAACATATTCAGGTGAAGATTTAGCAAAAGTTTTTTATGAGAAAATAAAAAAGAAAGCTCTTTATATTGCAAAAAATTATTTAGATGTAAAAAACCTATGATAATAACCAAAGAATAAAAAAATGAATTTGAAAAAGAAAATAACTGTCATATATGTGAAAAATCTTTAAGTGATTTACCACCAATACTAGTGAAAAAAAAATAGAATACTTGATGAAACTATTAATTATTGTCAATCTGAAAATTTAGATTTAGAATATATAGAAAAAGAAACTGAATATTTTAAAAAGCGGCTTGATGAATTAACGAAAGAAAAACAGATGTTCTTGAAGAACTTGAAGATAATATCTTAAAAGCTTAAAGATCACAATCACTTAACAAGAAAATATCGAGGAGCTGCTCATTCTATATGTAACTTAAATTATAAGGTTCCTAGATTTATTCCAGTATTTTTCCACAATCTATCTGGTTATGACGCACATTTATTTATAAAAGAATTAGGTATTGATAAAGATAATATAAAAAAAATTGCCATTAGTGAAGAAAATTATTTATCATTTTCAAAAAATATACAATATATACACATAGATCCAATTACTAAAAACCCTGTTTTAGATCAGAAAGGAAAACCTATTTTTAAAACAGTTGAAATAAGATTTCTTGATTCTTTCANTACCCGTTAGTTTTTGTTTTAATGTTAAATATAGTAATATTAGTAAAAATAATCTAGTAACATATACAGGTGAAGATGCAGCTAAAGTTTTTTATGAAAAAATAAATGATGCAGCAATTTATATTGCAAAAAAAATTATTTAGATGTAAAAAAAACCTATGTTAATAACCAAAGAACAAGTAACTGAATTTGAAAAAGAAAATATTTGTCATATATGTGAAAAATCTTTAAGTGATTTACCACCAATACTAGTGAAAAGAAATATAATATTTAATGAAACATTTGATTATTGGCAATCTAAATTAAAAAGAGGATCAATAGTTGAGAATAAGAATAAAAAAGAAAGATTAGATTTAGAAAATATAGGAAAAGAAATTGAATATTTTAGAAAAAACGGCTTGATGAGAAACAGAAAAAAAAACAGATGTTCATTGAAGATCTTGAGGATAATATGAAAAAAGTTAGAGTTCATGATCATTTATCAGGAAAATATTGAGGTGCTGCTCATTCAATAAGTAATCTAAATTATAAGATTCTTAGATTTATTCCAGTATTTTTCCACAATCTATCTGGTTATGACCGGCATTTATTCATAAAAGAATTAGGTATTGATAAAGATAATATAAAAAAAAATTGCAAATAGTNTTAGAAAATATAGAAAAAGAAATTGAATATTTTAAAAAACAGCTTGATGAGAAACAGAAAGAAAAACAGATGTTCATTGAAGATCTTGAGGATAATATGAAAAAAGTTAGAGTTTATGATCATTTATCAGGAAAATATTGAGGTGCTGCTCATTCAATATGTTATCTAAATTATAAGGTTCCTAGATTTATTCCAGTATTTTTCCACAATCTATCTGGTTATGACCGGCATTTATTCAAAAAAGAATTAGTTATTGATAAAGATAATATAAAAACAATTGCAAATAGTGAAGAAAATTATATATCATTTTCAAAAATTGTGAGATATGTGAAAAAAGATCCCATAACTAAAGAACCTGTTTTAAATAAAAAGGAAAACTTGTTTTTAATACAGTTTAAATTAGATTTCTTGATTCTTTCAAGTTCTTATTTAGTTCTTTAGAAAAATTAGCTAAAACCATCAGTTTAAAGAACTGTCTAAACATTTTCCTGAAAAATTGGATTTAGTAAAAGGAAAATTAGCATATCCTTATGANATATAAAAAAAAATTGCAAATAGTGAAGAAAATTATATATCATTGTCAAAAATTGTGAGGTATGTGAAAAAAGATCCCATAACTAAAGAACCTGTTTTAAATAAAAAGGAAAACTTGTTTTTAATACAGTTGAAATAAGATTTCTTGATTCTTTCAAGTTCTTATCTAGCTCTTTAGAAAAATTAGCTAATACCAAATCAGTTTAAAGAACTGTCTAAACATTTTCCTGAAAAATTGGATTTAGTAAAAGGAAAATTAGCATATCCTTATGAATATATGGATTCTTCAGAAAAATATGATGAAGAATCTCTACCTAATATAGATAAATTTTACAGCTCTCTTACAGGCGAACATCTAACACAAAAAACATATGAAAATGCTAAAAAAATATGAGAAAGATTCGAAAATAAAAATATGAGAGATTTTACCATACTTTATAATAAAATAGAGTAATATTACTTACAGATGTAATGGAAAGTTATAGAGATGTTTCAATAAGACATTTTTAGTTGGATCCTGTTCATTGTTATACAACTCTAGGTTTTGCGTGGAATGCTATGCTTAGAAAAACAGGTGTAGTATTAGAACTAATAAGAGATATTAATATGTATTTAATGTTTGAACAAGGAATAAGAGGAGGATTATCTCAAAGTAGTATTAGATATTCTAAAGCAAGTAATAAATATATTGGAGAGAAAAGAAAAGAAAAACATCAACGAAATATCTCTTAGATTTGGATACAAATAATCTCTATGGATAGGCGTTGTGTAAATATTTACCATATAAAGGTTTTAAATGGTGTAATCCTGATTTGTTTAATACAGAAAAATTTTTAAGAATGAAAGATGACCAGGAAAAGGGCTATATTTTCGAAGTAGATTTGAAATATCCTGAAGAGCTTCAGGATCTTCATTCTGATTTTCCATTGGCTCCTGAAAATGTGTTTGATACTACAGAATTACCAAAATTAACAACTCTATATGATAAGAAAAAATGTATTCTACATTATAATCATTCTATTCTATATTTAAGTTTAGGTTTAAAATTAAAGAAAATACATAGGATAATAGAATTTGATCAAAAAGATTGGTTAAAACCGTATATAGAATTTAAGTGTATTTGGTAGGACTATGATGAACACAAGGAACTATAAAGATATGAAACTAATTAACAACAGAAAAAAATAGAAAAATGGGTTGCTAAACCAAATTTTGATCGAGCAACTATTTTTACAGAAAACTTAGTAGCTGTACATATGAAAAAAACTATGGTTGAATTGAAACAACCAATTTATTTAGCAATGTGTATTTTAGGTTTATTTAAAACTCGAATGTATGATTTTTATTATAACGTATTGAAAAAAATATCAGATTATTCTAAGAATAATAAATATAGAATACCACAAATAAATAAAAAAGTTCTAGGTAAATTTAAAGATGAGTTTAATGGGCAAATAATAGCTGAATTTGTTGGGTTAAGATCTAAATTATATGCATTTAAAGTATTTGAAAATAAAAATGAAATTAAAAAAGCAAATGTGTGAAAAAACTTATAGTTAAAAATGAATTATGTTTTAATGATTTTTATAATTGTTTAAAAAGTAAAAATCCAAAATATGTAAAACAGAACATTTTAGAACAGATAAACATGAAATATATACTGTTGAACAAAAAAAAAAAAACTCTTAGTGCATACGATGATAAAAGATATATTTTAGATAAAGGTATAAATACTTTAGCATGGGGACATTATTCAACATAGAAAGAGTAAATTTGAGAGAATACCTTGATAATTTAATAAAAACAAATAGTAAAAAAGAATGATAATTTTAATATAAATTATGTATACAAGGAAAGAAACAATATAGTCATTGGTATGAATTATAATGAACTAAATTGTTATTTGAAACAATAAAATCTCACCGATCATCAAATCTGAAGAGCGATATAATGAAAATAAAAAAAAATAAGGAAAAAATTTGCAATAGTTTTCTCAATTCAATTATATACACGGCGGCCACCGATTTTTCTATCACACTTTTTACATATATTATTTTTTATACATGATTGGATTGAGTTATTATTATCCTAATGTTCTGATCTATTTATCTATCATATGATCTTACTAATTCCGGTTGCGCGTGGGTTTATTACCACTGATATGCTACTAACATATCAAATCGTCCAACAAACAACATGTACAAGTGTCACAATCATAGAACAAATATGATATTGTACAACGTTTTCAGCTTTTTATTTGTATTATTCTCATTTATTTTTTTTTAATTTAAAATAAATTAAAAAATATGTACTAAAAAGAATGTAGATAAAATATGGTTTAACTATACAAATTTAATAAAATAAAATATTTTATTGTTATCAGGTTGTTTTACACCTTTACAAACCAAAAAGATTTGTTCTTGTGTGTTTTTATTGAATGTTTAAATTTTTTTATGGGAAAAATTATTTAAAAATCTGTGAGGTAAAAATAATTTAAATTTATCATCTAAAATAACACTTAATTTGTCACCATATCTTGTTTTATCAATACTAAAATATTTCTGATAAATTTCTAAATCACTTAATTTAATGAATTTATAATTAAAGGTGACATTATTTAATTTAATTTTTAAGCTTTCCATTTATTATAGAAAATGTTTTTTTTTTAACTAAGGTTCAAAAAATTTTTTAAAAGGAAAATAAAAATATAAGGAAAAAATGTTGCAATAGTTTTCTCAATCCAATCATATACACGACGGCCACAGTAAAGAGAACTGTTCTTATTGCAATGTTTATGTAACATTTGTTTTTAAATCGTGTTCTTTTTCGTTCTAATTATTAGGGGTATTTCCAAGATACTCCTGTTGTATACACTGATCATGTGTTAAATTTTCTATTATTATTTTATTTATTTTTGTTTAAGAGAACTGTTCTTAGTACAATGTTTATGTAAATTGTTTTTATTATTATATTTAAATATTTTTTTTTAATTTATTTTTTTTTAATTTATTTTTTTTTAATATTATTTTTTTTTATTTTATACATATAAAAAAGACAGGAAATAAAAACAATGTAAATATAGATCAAAAATTAGTTTTTAAAGTGAAAAATATCAATCTGCGCCAGAACCGGCATATCTATACTACTACTATATTTATTATATAATCTATTCTACCAATAAAAAAGATTATTATACAACATTTTATTACATTTAGTTATAATGTAAACTTTCGCAAATTAAACTCGATTGGAAAAATAAAATTAATATTGATAGATTTATTAGTATAAAGATAACACTATATTATAACGCTTTGAACAAGCCAAGAAGATATATTTGTACTTATTACCTATAATTATACTTACTAATTGCACTATTTATTTTATTTTGTAATGCTTTACTTTCGTTTTCTGTAAAATAAAATGAAATTATTAAAACCATTTTTAATTTAGACCAGTTTTACCATGAGACATTCAGAAAAAAAAATTTTAATTTTCTGTGTAAACAATTTTAAACAATGAAATTTATTTTTATTTGTAGTATCTTTTTCGGTGCTAGTGGGCTACAATGTAAAAAGTAATCTGTGGCTTAAGCCCCCCTCTGACTAAATTTATCAAGCTCCACCTAGCAGTAGACTGGTATTTTTCACCTGGAGGGTGATAAACTAACATAATATACAATCGCAATGGACTATGAAATAAAATTACCTAAATACCAACCACCGATTTATAGACAGCCGTACGTCTCCTGTAGGCCTAGCACAAATAGATAGATAAACTAATAAATATAATGTAGGTAGATAATATAATCAAGCCATCGCATTCTCCATGGAATACACCCCTTTTGTTAAATGCGACAGGTGATCAAAAATTCCAAATAGTAATAGATTTTCATGCCTTGAGTAAGATTTTTCTACGTCCTTTCCATGTTTTTCCCAGTTTTTTAAATTTTTGGTAAAACTATAGGGAAAATCTAAAAATGATTTCCCAAAAACGCCCATTTCCTAGTACACAACTTAATGCACTGCAAAAGCTCCATACTTGCCTTAAATGGATGGCGTAGCCCGGCTCTCCTGATAGGGATTTAGCGCAAGGTTAACAACCCTGCCTAGTAAATTTCAACATACTCAGGAATATCTAAATTTGCATTGGGATAGAGCTTTCGGAAAATCGACAGGAAAATGGATTTTTCTTTTGGAAATAGGGACGTATGCACACTTTAAAAATCTAGAGCAGTTCACAACTTACTGAATGAATTTGAAAAACATAAAATTAAATTAACAGCGCTATAAGAAATTAGATGGAGTAGTACGCGGACGGTGATTATAAGTGATACAACTATCTTCCATCTGGTCAATGCCAACTAGGAACGGATTTTGCTGTACACAAAAGTAGTATAGTTCCAGTGGTCAATAAGTTCAAAGATATTAACCCTAGAATTAACTACTAACAATAGGAGCACAATGGTTTGATATAGGCTTCATTAATGTACATGTTCCAACAGAAAATCAATCACAAAAGGATAAAGAGACGTTCTATGAGGAACTTAGAGAATAGAGAATACACTGAACTCAATACCCAGTAATAGAATACAGATCGTCATAGGAGCTTTAAGTTTAAAAGTCGGGAAAAAACCATGTTCTGCAGGAAATCCATCTGCAGGAAATTATTACCTACACGGTGGTATAAATGATAACTTAAACTAATAGACTTGACAGTTGGGAACGACCTAGTAATAAAGAGCACAATATACCCTCATAAAAACATTCATAAATATTCATATTAGTGGAGATCACCAGACGAAAGTTTTACTAATCAAATAGACTACGTTCTAGTTAACTTGAGATTTAAAAATTGTAACCAGAAGTTAGAATGATTAAAGGAGTAGACTTAGACTGAAACCACTATCTAGTGGGAGGTGAATAAAAATTAACCTAAAAAGACGCCCTCAAACAAATCAAGAACTACTAACCAGATATAATGTAACTAAACTGGATGACCCGAACTGTCATTATATCTTCAGACATAAAATACGTCAACTTTTTAATAACAACGATGAAAATAGAACAGAATCTGTAATCAAGTACTGTAATGGAAAACAGAGGGAAAATCCATGGTTTAATGATACATGTATTAGGGCGTTGAAATGCAAAAAACAAAGTAAATATCAATGGCTCGGTAACCCAAAAAATGCCAAAAAAGAAAACAACTTCAGAACATGTAAGAAAGAAGTAAACAGCATAATCATATACGAAAAAAGAAGATATACCAAGAACATGCTAGAGGAAACAGAAAAGTACCATAAAATGAACAGGCCACATCAATTATTCCAATATATCAAGAAGGGATTTAAAAACAAATAAAGTTTTTTAAAAATATCGATGGTACGCTGATTACAGATCCAAATGATATCTTAGATAAATGAAGAGATTACTTCAAATACTTCCTTAATTATGAGGATCCCTAGTCATTTGCTTGGACTGCCGTAGAAACCAATGAGAACGAATATCTCTCTCCATCTAGAATTGAGGTAGCACTGCAAACTAAGAGGTTATAAAATCATAAAACTTCGGGTGAAGATGAGATTCAGAGTGGAATTTTAAAGAGTCTAGATGAAAAAACCATATCAGATATACGAAGCCTCATAGAATTGATCTGGAAAGAAGAAAGGATTCCGGAGGATTGGAGAATAACATTGATTGATTCTTTAGAGTGCAATAATTACAGATTGCTTTGCTCAACACAACATATAAAGTATTATCCTATTGAATTCTACACAGAATTAAACAGATTTCCGAAAGAATTCTTGGGGGATTACCAAAGAGGTAATAGATGTTTAGACCAAACAAATCTACCACAGACCAAATATTTATTATAAAACAGGCATTTCAAAAAAATTTGGGAGTACAACAAGAAAGTATATACATTTTTTGTTGACTTTAAGAAAGCCTATATATAGACCGAGCCTATTTATTCTGAATATAAAATTCTGAGATAAAAATTAAAATATCAAACTCCTCATCTCAATCGTTTAAAGTAGTCACTGATTTGAGACAAGGAGACGCAATAAAATAACAACCTATAATACAAATTCCATAAATGTATAGCGTTTTAGATAAAATAAATATTGGTTTTGAACTTGTTAATTTCGGTCAACTCGTTAAGGTGATATTCCTCTTTAAGATTGGGTAGGAGAAAGTAATAAAACACTATTCAAATACTGTGTGTTACGCCACCACACAAATTATAGTCTACCACTGTATACCTCACAAGTATGGGTAATATTTTTTTTTAAATATTATTTATATTTTTTTCAAAACATATAACTTACTACTATTTAGATTGCTATTAGAAATCTTGTCACCATATGCATCTGAATATAAGAAATAATTTATTTAATATCCTATATTTTCTCTGTAACACGATAACTATTGATTTAAATTAATTTTAATTAATCACTGTTAAGAATTAAGATAGAGGAAGGATGGAGTAATACTAAGACCAAAACTTTATTATTTGTATGAATTATTTTTTGCGAAGCAAACTAGAAAATTCGAAAAATAACTACTCCTTAGTAAGTACCATAAAATTAACTAAAACCCCTTCAGTCAGTATTCCATTTGAAAGACACATGTTTAGTTAGCTTAACAACGTAATTAATTTAGGTATGATAATGCATAATGTTTTATTTGATTCCATAATGTGTCTAGTTTTTATTGGTAGTAGAATAATGTATCTTTTAAAGTTAATTAGTTGATTTACACAACAAAATAAGATAATATAGATTGACAATGACATGGTAGGTGGATAGTAGTTTTTCGGCGGAAAGTATCTAAGTGGAGGACATAGACCATACCGGCCACTAGACCATCCCGTCGAACAACCAATCCTAAAGGGCTCTCTGTCCGCTGCTTTTTCTCTCCAATTTGGGCCACCGTTCAACGATTCCACGTTTCTTTTTATTATATCTTCCCATCTTAAACGGGGTCGCCCAAGAGGCCTCTTTCCTACTGGGTTTTTTGCCAATACCACGTGCAGTAATAGGTTCTGACTACGCCACGTGTAACCAGCCCACTTCAGCTTCCTACTCTGAATTATATCTAATATGTTTGGCTTCTGAAAGATTTCCTCTAGTTCTTTGTTTTTCCTTGTTCTCCATCCCTCGGTTATCTTGTCTTTTACTGGCCAAAAATCTTTCTTAGGGTTCTCCTCTCTAGAATGATCAATTTATTTTCTTCCGTTTTCCTTAATGTCCATGTTTCTGATCCATATGTAATTATAGGGCGTATAAAATTGTAACTTTATTTCTCTCGATAGGGACCGTGACCTTAGTATCTTTGTGAGTCCGTAAAGACATTTGTTTCTCGACAAAATTCTTGCTGCTATTTCCTTTTCAGTTTCATTTTTTTCGTTCAGTACTGAACCTAAATATTTGAATTGTTTGACTCGTTTGAATTCGTGGTTACCTACTCTTAGGGTAGGATACATTCTCGTACTATCTCTTTTACCCATTACCATGTATTCTGTTTTGCTTTCGTTTATTGGTAAGTCAACCTTTTTTGCTGCCTCCTCCAAATGGATGCATAGTGTTCTTAGATCATCCTGTGATTTATACATGAGGCCCAAATAGTCTGCATAAGCCATTAATGCTATGGAGGACCTTCGTAGTAGCATCCCCTCCTGGAAACCGGTATTAGTTTCTCTTATGACTTTATAATACCAGGTTAAAGAGAACAGGTGAGTCCCCCTATCTCAGGCCTGAATTCACAATTATTGTATCGGTTTCCGTTTTTCCTACTCTTATTTTAATAAACGTTTCCATAATACATGTTTCGATTAACTTAACTAATTTTTGTGGGAAGTTATACTCAATAAGAATGTTTATTAAGCTTTTTTGATGTATACTATAGTACGACTTCTTGAAGTCGACAAAGAGCACGTGTATTTCCTTGTCAAATTCCCAGGACTTTTGGAAAAGTTATCAGAGAATAAATATCTAGTCTACTGTAGATCTTCCTGGCCTAAAGCCTCCTTGGTAATCGTCAATGATTTGCTTCAATTTTATTTTTATCCATGACAAGATACAGTTCTCTAAAACTTTATACGCAACACTTAGAAGGGCAATTCTACGATTATTATTGCTATCTTGTTTATCGCCTTTCTTATGAACTGAGCATAGTAATGCTATTTTCCAATCTTCCGGTATCTTTTCGAATGTCCATATTTGGTAAATGAAACTCCATAACCTGAATAATATCATTTATCTACTAGTAAAAAAATTTAGGTAAAGGGGTTCCCAAACGTTAAATCCTATAATTTATAACTGATGGAAAGGGGTTTTGATGGAATACGAAAAGGTTATTTTTAGCGGAAATCGGTGACATCCCATAACACTTTCTATTTTCTAAAATATAAGTGGTATAATAATGGGAATAGTGCCAAAAAATTCAACTATTACATGTACCAATTTTAGTGTAAAAACTACAAAAGTATAATTGAATTAGTTTACTTAAATCAGTTATCATTATTTCTTTATTGTAATTTTACTATTTTTGAAACTTACCCCAAATTTTATCCAAACTTGTGCTAAGTGATTTCTTGTTTATTTGATCATTCTCTAAAAATAATGTTGTTTTAATAATATGTACCTAGGTGGCTAGGTTATAGGTACATCAAACTATGGTTAGGTACCAGTGCCAGCATTATGATTTGTGAGGCTCTATTCACATTATAATATTTTTAAATTTGTATAGGTATCACATAAAAGACCCCAGAGCCAAATCCAAAAATGCGAGGCCCAGTGAGATTTCACTTTTTGCACCTTCCTCGCGCCGGCACTGTTAGATAAACTCATATAAAATATATTTAGGAAATAATAGATGGTTTCCGGAAATACGTTAATTGTCAATTGGTCGTAGAAAATTAAACAATTCATCGCATAACAATTGACCGCAAATATTTTAAATTAAATTAAATAAGACACTTGATCGCAATGGAAATTAACCGCACAATTGATTGCAAATGAATGAAATTTATCCCAGAATAAAACACTAATTGTGTACTGAGAGTTGTTTGTAATGAATTTTCCTTTAAAGTTGAAATACATTTTTTAGCTTCGATTTTTGTAGCATCTGGAACGTGATTATTATGCTCTGTAAATTGTATTATTTTCTCATCTACTACATGAACCTTAACAATGAATTTTTTTGTACTCTTGAACATTTCCAATATATTTTATTATTGTGTTCTAGTTCTTTTACATATAAAATCCTTCATAAAAGAGCATATTTTTATTTTTTTACACTTAATACATACTCTAAAACCATATTCTATTTTACAAACAAAAATATACGGTATTTTTGCTACACGAAGTTATTAGTAGACTGATTATGTCTGTATTTATGTATTGTCGTCATGTCATTTCATGGGTTATATACGGGCAGATAGGATAGGTCGGTACGAATGTTAGATAAGACGTAAAAGTTCTATTCATCTCACTCCCTTATACAGCTTTTAGTTGAATAACTATATCGTCTTTATCTATACCATGTATAAAAATAACAAAAATATTGAAAATATTCTTCGTGGCAGTTTCATTATCACATTCGTTTATATCTACCTAATTACCTTTTTTTTAAATTGCGATCAAGTATCGTGCGGTAAATTTCCATTGCGATAAATTATTTGCAGTCAATTGTCGTGCGATCAATTGTTTACGTTCAATTGACGGGACACCATGGTCTCCAATAACAATTATATTAAGTAATAAGTACATAAAAAGAACGTTCAGCATACATTTCTACGGTTCCTTTGTTTTAATTGCAACATTTCTAGATCTCTACATTCTTCCTATTGTCCTATTCTCACTTCTTTCTCGATTTCCTTGAAAATCGCAAAACAAAATTAGATTTAAATTTAGTATAAATTGTTTTTAGAAATAATGTTGATTGTCCGGAGTTATTACACAAATTAAATTTGCATGTTCCATCTCGTATCGCTATGTCTAATTTAACACTTTATATAACTCGTCAAAAATAAAATTATAATTTTCATACGCCATCAATTCGTTTAATGCTCTCTGCTAATTCAATAAACTTTGATATTTTTGCATTTGATACATTATCAAATGTTAAACAGCATATTATATCGTGTAAATTATAATTACTCAGTCAGTATAGTAATCGTGCTGCTTTAAATCAATCATGTATTTATTATTATTTGTTTGTTAATTTTTGAATTTATATTATTGTTTTTGTTATTTTTATATATTTTTTTCTCGTTGTCTGTGTATATTTTTGTTCGACCACTATATAATATTGGTCTCTTTTTGGGTTCTACCCATTGAAATAAATAAATAATAAAAAAAACTATGTTTCCGTTTAGACAGTAACTGTATGAAAAATAACTTCTTTTTAATTCCTTAAGGCGTTATAGAAAAAAGTTTGTACATTTAATACTTATATTAAAAATGTACCACTTGGGCCCTTGTAGCTTTAACAATAGGAACACATGAAATCTTTATGTAATACAATAGCTGAAAAGAAATTTTATTAACCCAGATTTACGGTTTCCATAAGGTTTATTATAATACGAATAGCTTCAATTTCCCTCAGATTTCAAAATTTACCTAGGTAATTAGGTACCTATTAAAATATATTTCATATTTTATGTTTTACATATCTCATTCATAAAATACAACGAAAGCTTAATATATATATATTACCAATATTGAACATTACCTATGCCTAAAAAGAAAATAATCGGTACCTATTTAGATTTTTTGAAATTTATTAGGTAGGTATTTATATTTTACAGTAGGTTATATAGGTTAATATTAATATTAAAGTTAATATTAATTATATATATTATATATATTATATATTATATATTATATATTATATATTATATATTATATATATATTAATTATATTTCTTTTGAGAATAGATAACCGCTTACCGGTAATTTATTACATGATATTTACCATTAAATGGGTCCTTTTTTGGGGAAAATTTTCAATGGTGTTCCCATGAATTTTTTTGGTAGTATATTACAACACCGTGTTTTACTTTATATATATATATATATATATAAAGAGAGGAATAGATAAAAATTTTACAAAAAATAAATTCAGACTACCAAAACAAAAAACATATAATATTTTCCAAAAAAAAGTAAAATAAATCGTAAGGAAATTGTACATTTTTCAATTATAATTGCTAAAATAAATACAATTTATGTTAATATTTTGTTTTTAATATGTCAATTTATATTAAACTAAAATGTATATATTTCATATTAGACTGGGAACACACGGGCGTTATTTTACCCAATAAAAAAAATAAGCGGTAAAAACATTGAACATACGAGCGTTATTTTACCGCATAAACATACGAGAACTACATACCTCATAACTTCTCAACTAGACGATTTGAATAAAAATCGTTTAATTTGTGATAATATGTCAACTATGGTAGACGAAAACATTATTTTATTTTTGGGGTACTGTTTATTAATAAAAAAGAAAAAAAAGGTCAACAGAAAAATATGGGTTCATCTTTTAGTTAGTTTTCGTTCATCTGAAGGTGTGCTTACATTAATTTTTGAAGGACTCAGAAGTAATACTGATAAGTTTTTTTAATCTGTTTCTTATGAGCGTTTCTGCATTTAAGCTGCTATCCACATACTTAGGAGCCAAACTTTTAAAAATGAATACAAATATGCGGAAGACTATTTCTCCAGCTGAAAAATTGGCTGTGACGTAAAGGTAAGCAAAATAATTTATTTAATATTTTGATTACAATTTTATAACGAAATACATAAAAAAATGTTTAACAAATACATGGACATTTAACATTTATACTTTATGTATAGTGCATACAAAATATATTATAAATATTTAAAATAAAATAAATATTGAACTCTGATTAATACTAACACATAATCATAAAACAAACTTGTTTTAATTCAAATGTATTTAGAAATAAAATTACTGTTAAAAATTAAAATTAATTCATGTATACGCAAATGTTTGATTGTCTATAATTGTATTGTACTAAAAATAAACAGTAAACTAGTATAGAAGCTGGCGCAATAGCTAAAGGATTCAAACAAAGTATAGAAATACATGATCTTAAATTCAATAAATTAATTGGTAAATATGTACTTATATGTGTATGTGTGGTTTTCTAAGTTTTTGTATCTGTGAGCAATTAAAACTAGGAGCTTCATGCAGTGTTTTGGATCTAGCTGATTAGTTGGAAGATCATTTTTAAATTCCTTGTACTTTTCGATTTTCCTAATAATGAGGAAAAACTAAAAAAAATGTAAAATACAACGGTTTTTGGTAAACATTGTAAATATCGTTTTCTTTGTAGGCAATGGAGATTCTAGTGTAACCAAACGGTTACGAGAAATAATACCTCATGGACCTAATTTATTAGTGAACGAAATTGAAATATACAAATATAAAATGTATAATTTATTCCTTTTCCTCAGTCTTTTCCCATTTATTGGAAAAACTCCTAAGAAAATCAACCTCTCCAGTCAAATATCCTTAAATTTCACAATACTCGTGAATTTGTATTCCTTATCCTGCTGTAGTCTCGCATCCTTTTATTGAGCAATTTTTACCCATTATTTTAAATATTTATACTATATTCTATAATCAATGATAATAATATACATCGTGGAATAAAATAAATGTTTTTATTTTTTTTCCATAATTGTTCTCATCTAGTTCTATCTCTTTTGTTCGATGTCGATCCACGTTTTCTCTCTCTATGCGCGGTAATAGTTATTAGGTCTATACTACACGTACTCGAGATAATAGGATTGGTTACGACCTGCCGCGACGGCGGCAATACGACGCACAATGTTATCTCTCAAGCGTTGCATACGTTTCACTATTGTAATGGCCTCTTAATTTTACGGCTTGACACTCGTGTGTTGTGCTCTATTAATTTTAATGTATATTAACAAAACGCGCCGTAAATTTACGGCGCGGTAAAAATGTCACGCGACAAAAAAACACCCGTGTGTTACCAGCCTTATTTGTTTCATTGTCAATTAAAAAACTATAAATAAAACCAAAAAACTACTTTCTTGATCACCAACTAGATTAAAAATTTAATAAAAAAGGTCTCTTGTCGAATTTCTATTGGAGCTATAATTATAGTAGAATATGTTATTAAAAGATAATTAATTAAGATATGTTCTATCCGATCAAATTGTATTTCGAAACACTGTGTAACGTGGTAAGG